TTAATAGAGTGTTTTCTCTGTCTGGATGTTTGGTGTTTCCAGGGTTGTGGAAAGTGGTGGTTTTGGATTTGATTCTGCTGTGGCCCTTTGGATCTTACTGACCCAGGAAATTAAAAAAAAAAATTATTGGCTTAGAATTTTTTTTTTACAAATAAGTTTTTTTTTCTCAGACTGCACATCTACAAATGGCACAAATTTTTTTCTCTTGATTTGTTTTTTTTATTATGTTATGCTAATCACCATACATTATATCATTAGTTTTTGATGTAGTGTTCCATGATTCATTGTTTGCGTATAACACCCAGTGCTCCATGAAGTACGTGCCCTCTTTAATACCCATCACCAGGCTAACCCATCTCCCCACTGCCCCCTAGAACCCTCAGTTTGTTTCTCGGTGTCCATAGTCTCTCATGGTTCGTCTCTTTTTTTTATTTCCCCCCTTCATTCTTTCCTTCCTGCTATCTTCGTCTTCTTCTTCTTTTTTTTAACATATAATGTATTATACAAATGGCACAAATTTTTTTTTTTTTTCCTCAATGCTCCCCTGGGCTGATGGGAAGAGCTTTTCTAGTCTTTTTTTTTTTTAAAGGATTGGGACACCTCTATGAGGTTCTGGTTTAGTGCAGAGTTTAGCTCCATCTCCCACCTTGCAGGGGCTGAGGTCATGTTCTCTCAACGTGCAAGGGTGGTAAATCCTGCTGTCAGCCACTGGAGTTTGTGTCTGGTCTGACACAACTTTAGCTCCTGCTCACTGCTCTGTTTTGGACATTCAAAAAAACTGTAATATGAGGATTTATTTTCTTTCTTTTGAACTTGATTACATAATTAAAAAAATTTTCTCTTTGTGCATATGTTTTTATAGGTGGAGGGGACCCTTCTGCATCCGTTCAGTCTCCCATTTTGCTGCTCCTTAATATAAGAAATAGAGATCAAGAACAGAACTCTGGGTGTCCAGGGACATATGAGGGACAGAAATAGGAAGTGAAATCCCACAAGGAGATGGAAGAAACAGTAGGAATAGAACAAGGAGAGAGCTGGTCTTTAGGAAACAGGGAGAACAGCTTTTAGAAAGGTCCTCTTATGTGATGTGAGGCCAGCTTTTCCCAGGGATGGCTTATTGTTCATCCTGCAGACTCGAGAGGCCTCTTTGGAAGGAAAACTCAGAGAAATATAAAAGGAGGGAGATCGGCTGAATTTATAAAGGGAATGCAAGGCACTGGTTCTCCCCCCACTACCAAGGAGAACTGCTTAGGATTAATTTGGGAACTTCTGGATGTTTGTGTGGGAGGGAATCTTCTCTGGGAGGGACTCTTCTCCACCTTTTTGGCTAAGTGTGCCAACATCCATCCCACAGGACTTCCAGAGACAACAAGGAGGGGTTGCATTATTTTGTATGTTGGGGGCTGGCTTGCCTGTTTGTACCCTTCTCTGTCTCTTGTCTTCATCTCGTTGATTTAGGGCCACGTGTGATATACGTGATAGATAAGAGTAAACCCGCTTTACTTGGATCTTGTTCCTTCCTAACCCCACCATTCCTCCTGGAATATTCTTAGCCATTCTCTTTTTGGATAATGCCTCTTCTGCATCCCAGTGACACAAATTCATACACTTTAAGGTTCCTTTTAGGCTCTGATTGGAAAGCATTTGGGCTTCCATTTGGAGGAAACTCGGTTCCGGTTCTGTGGACTTTTGTGGCTGCAGAGGGAGTCTTGCAGCTTGGAATGTATCTTTGGACTGTGCAGAGTGAAGCAGCCTATGTGCAGGGACCTGAGTCTGCGGTAAGAGGCTTTGACATCACTTTCTAAGTTTTCAAACAAGGATCATCTATGTCAGCTCACCACAACCCTGGAAGTGGGTGGTGCTGATATCAACATCCTCATTTTACAGATGAAGAAATAGGGCTAGAGAGGTGAAGTCAGAGATCCCCAAATTTAGAGACAGAACTGGATTTATTGTCCAGACATCCCATCTCTGAGCCTGGTGCTTTTCCCTCCGCTCCATTCTCTCTATGCATGTTTGTGCAGGCCAACCTGATCACAAACAGCCCGTGAAGCCTCTCTGCCCCTCACCCTTTCCCCATGCCACACACGAGGAGAGACTAAATTCCTTCCTCCCTTTCCTTCCTGGCCCCTATATCTTTCAGACATCCACCATTGCTGCTGACAGGCCTCAGACAATGCCAAACGAATCGTTGACCCGGTTCACAGAACTTATAACAAAATTTGTATACCATTTCTGTTTAGAAACAATGGCTACCACCATCTTTCTTGGCATTACTTTTTATTGAATACGGACTTACGGTCTTTAAATATTTTGAATATAGTGTTTTCAATATACAGTTCTTTAGTAATACATATATTTCTTTAAAGCACAAAACTATAACTTAAAATTGGAAGGCTATAAATACACATGTATATATTGCCATAAATCTAGAACAATTTTATAAAAATAGAACTCAAATGTCAACTTTATATATTTTGGCAACTTAGCAGTATTGTAAGGTGGCCAAAAGCATGTTTATTATGCATCACTGCCCCAAAGTGACTGCCTGCAGGTTTCATTTTCCATCTCTTTGGGAACACTTGGAACAGTCTCCATTACCAGGATCCCCCCGAGATGCCCATGGCCATGGCTCAGCATTGCCTTTGCATAAAGACTCAGTGCATCCACCTGTTCTTGGAGGGGGAAGACCAGCTTCCAGATTCTTCCTCAGAAAGAGGAGGTGTTCCCTCCTGCCAAATGTACACAATCCTACACTTCTTGAAGCCCTCACAGTGTATGGTTGATATCTGAATATACAGAGTCAGTTTCCTTTCCCCTATGCTCAGAGAATGATACATGTGAGTTTGGTTCTTTCAAATCAGTGTAAAAAGTTCAAAAGAAATTCACTTGAACAGGGCCTGCTGGAGTAACATCATCCTGATGGTGGACACCAGTGTCCCCACCTGCTTGTGCAAGGCCCTTTACACATGTGCTCTACAGACCTCACAGTCTTGCAAGGTCAGGATGTTCTTGTCCCCATTTGATGATGGAGGGAATTGAGTCTCTGGGCATTTAAGTCTCTTGGTTAAGGTCAATGGGGTTACCTGACCCTCAAACCAGAGCTCTCTGTCTGCCCAGAAATCCATGGAAGGAAACCAGAAGAGAACTCAGATCTGTACTGTGGTCATTTGAAGAGACAAGTGGCTTTGGGTCAACTTACAGCAGGGGGACAGCAGTTCCCCAGATATTCCCAAGACCCCTGGGCTGCAACTTCCCAAGGGGGCTGGAAGGAGGACATCTGTGGAAGGAGTATGGACGTAGAGACCAATGATTTTGAAAGGCAGTGTCAGAATTTCCCAGATCATCCAACAGAAACCCTCAATCTAAAACCCGGGCTCAAGGAATTTACTGCTTGGGCCTGTTTGTGTTTTCAAAGAACTGAGCAAAGGTCATAATGCCAGCTGCCCCCATCTCAGCCCTGCCTTCAATAGAGGTCAAAGTGCAGAAAGCTTGCACAGTGGCCCAGAGGGACTTGTGCAGGGTCCCTGGGCCAGAGTGCAGTGCGAGTGGGGCGAGGGGGCTTTGTCAGAACTCCCCTGCAGGTTGCACAGCAGAACTCAGTGGCGAGAGTCAAGCTCTGTACCTCCTCTGGACAGAGACAGGCTGCCTCAGCTATTTGCAGTTTTGATTTTCTGGTTGCTTTCCCACTCCTTTGCCTTTTTAGATTTACCATAAAAATATTCCCCAATGGGAAGTGCTTTTCATATCTCCTTGATGATCACAACCTCTCAGGACAAACTTAACTTTGGCTCTGTGCACGGCCTGCCCCTCCAACAGGGCTGACTCTGGACATAGCTATTCCCTCCTCCTGGCCCTGCTCCCCACCAGCTGTCTCCTCAAACCTGCTCCCCCCTCCCCCCTGCCAGGCCAGGGAGAGCCGTGCTCTGCACTTGTCCACATGGGGTTTAGTTAGAATCCCTAGATAACATCTTCCACCTGCTAGCCGCAGGTGTCCTGCTTGGGCCACTGAGATCATTTTCTGAAATTAATGTCACAGTGGTTTTCTTAGAAGCCTCTCTTAAGAATGAATAAAACAAAACAAATAAGCAATGACAGAAAATCCCCAAAGCAACCCTCTCTCTTCTCCTCTAGAAGGCAGACCACCTATAAGGGGTATGATTCCCGTGAAGGGGAGTGGGGAAGCAACCAGAAAAAATGCTAGTGGCAGGATTCTTGGGGAAGTGGACTGGTCCTCCCTCCCCATCCCTGCTGCTTGGCGGGCATTGTGCTGTTTACTCATCCTGGACTGTCGCTGATGCCCCCAGGGAGGCCGAGCAACACGATGCCCCACACAATGGTGGATGATTCTTTCTCCCCCCTCTCAGAAGAGCAGGACCAGATTTTCCCGAACTCAATGGAAGGCTGCCCCTGGGAGATGAAAGGAGAAATGTGTTTTGGGACCTGGGTCACTGTATTTTAAATTAACTCTGTGTGTGTGTGTGTGTGTGTCTGTGTGTGTGGAGGGGACGGGGTGTTTGCAGCCCTGTACGGCTCAGTGCAGGTCATTCTGAATGTCATGATGACACTGCTTCAAATCTGAAAGCAATGCCCCCTACTCCTCCCCCAAAGAAAAGAGGTATTGACCTGGGGTTAGCCTCTTTCTTTGTGATTCATGAAGGTACACCGCATGTAATAGGGTGACTCATTCTTTTGTTGGGCAAAACATTACCTGGACACACTAGGTCCCGCTAGAGAAGAAAACACCCCCATTAAGCTTCTGAGGCCATGGAGGGAAGGTGGTGTAGACTTGCCCACCTCCCCAAGGCTACCTCAGAGCCAGGCCCGACTTACTTCCCAGTACACAGGCCAGAGGGCAGCTCGGCAAATAAGGACAATCCCCATGCCTAATGAGGAACACTTTCCTCCTCACGCTCCTGCTTTGCGTGATGCCTCCGTGTGGTCTCTGGGTTGGGCCCTGAGGACGGGAGCTACCAAAAGCTAGGGAGAGGGTTGGGGGTAGGGGTTCGGCAGGGTCTGGCGGCAGCAGAATGCTGGGTTTGGGGACGTGGAACCTAGTGGCAGGAGTCAAGGTTGGTGTCCCTCGATGGGCCTTGTTGCTTTTTCTTTTGTTGCCAGTGGCTTGCCCACTGTAGACTGTGGCGGACTGCAGAGGCCCCTCATTTCAGAGAGGCTTTCTTCCACTGCTTTCGCAAACTTTGTAGAAGAGGTTTCTTTGCAGCCATGAAAGCTGGAGATGCAGAAAAGGACGCTCTCTGGCTGGGGGTTGTAGCAGACCCCGTACCCGTCGGGTACCACAGGACCATAGCAGCAAAACATCTCCATGGTTGTGGGCACCTGGAGGAGAGGACAGGTCAGAAGCTGCTGGTTCTGAAAAGTAACCTGTGGACTTGCTAGAATACAGGGCGTTTCAACAACCCCGAGGCCTCGAGAGGATATTTACTTCTCTATTTTCTACCTGGGTGTCTGACTGAATTAACCAAATGAACCAATAGCTTCAGCATGGATGGCCACAGCCAGAGTCAGAAAGACAAACCCACCTAACTGCAACGATATCCAAAGAAGAGAGTCCATAAGCCACTCCCTGGTGGGAAATCTGCTCTACTTGTGGAGTCAAAATCCCCCAGAGTGACCTGTGCTGGGTCTCAGGCTGAGCGTCTCCTTCACCTGGGGGCTGTTTGAGGCACTGAGGCAATCGGGGTAATTTACTGAATGGTACCCTGGTGGCACCCCACAGTTAGATGGCTTCCCAGAGGGAGTAATTTATGAACAGAAGGAAATCTGGCCTGTCTTCTCTGTCAATTTTCCCCACATCCTTAATTACTGTCAGGATTGCTTGGCTGGTCTGATTTTCTCCCCACAACCTGGCCATGCACAATTACCCAGCACTGGGCATTTCAAAGATTGCCATCAACTGGAGTTTTCCTTATGCACCTAATACATTTTGAATTCCGAGTGCTGAGATTTTGTAATCAGGGTCACAAATCAGGAAAATGTGTCTCTGAAGGCATTCAAGCCATAAATGTTGATTTCCTGTTGGGAGAAAGAAAAAACACCAAACCACCACACCCCCAAATTCACTTTCTTAGCTGGTCTTCAGGAGAAAAATAGAACACATTCTTGGGTAGTTGCAGGGTGGGGTTTGTTTTTAAACCCAAGGTTTCAGGCGCTGTGTAGTCGGGCCTTCAGAAATGACACTGGCTGTTTTAATGGGGCAGAACAAACCATTAGTCTTGTTAATAGAGTCACCTCATTGTCAGATAAATTTGCCGTGCAACAGCTGAAGGCCGTAAAACCGTTCCAAAGCACTTTTTCCCATGGATGGTTTCCTGAAGAATTTATGTTTTTGTGCCCTGCCCTCGTTTACTTCCGTCTGTGCACTCACTGCCGTAACGACAACATCAAATTACTGAGTGGGCTTTTATTCTCAAACACAACTTGATCAGCCCCTCTCATTGCCCACGTCCAGCCCTTAGCAGATGAGGCAGAGTCTTAGTCAACTGACGTTTGGGGGGTTCTTTTCTTTCCTAAACCACTGCACTTCTTGAATGGATTTCTTTTCTTTTCTTTTTTTTTTTTAAGATTTGATTTATTTGTTTGACAGAGAGAGGCACGGTGAGAAAGGGAAAACAAGCAGGGGGCATGGGAGAGGGAGAAGCAGGCTTCCCACTGAGCAGGGAGCCCAAAGTGGGGCTCGATCCCAGGACTCTGGGATCATGACCTGAGCTGAAGGCAGATGCTTAATGACTGAGCCACCCAGGCGCCCCTCGAGTGGATTTCATTCTGTCTTTATCACAGAGGTCCTCCAACAGAACGGGCTTTTAGGGGATGCTGGGCTGGCCGCTGATCACCTGCCATTGGTCGCTCAGCCCTTCACAATATTGGCCATGACCTGTTTGGAGGGCCCGGTCCATGCCAGGCACTGAGCTAGGCTTTCTACCCAAATTGTCCCTTCTCGCTGAGCCAGGACTTCACTCTAGACCTGTCAGGCTTCAGAGCCTGTGGCCCGCACGGTGGAACGCCGCCCCGCAGGTAACAGATTGAAAGGTGGTAAGCATAGTGGCTAGAGCACCAGTTCCCATCCAGTCCTCCTCCACTAGGGTGGCGTTCACGAGTACACCCATTTAGACGGTGGGGAAACCAGCACTCTGAGCATTCAGGTCATTTTGCCAAAGGACATGCAGCTGGTAAGGAGCACCTCTGGGACTCGCCTGACTCCAGCCAGTGGGCTGTAGTCACTGGTCTACGCTAAGTGGCCTTTTAGAAAGCCCACTGGTTACACTAAGTGGCCCCTTGGGTGACAGCCGCACGGTACCTGGCTGGTTGAGAGGATGAACCGGTTGCTCGTCAGGTACGTTTCATCTGTAAACATCTCGGGCAGCTCCTTGCATGTGTCCCGGGCCAGCTCCCGCAGCGCCAGCAGGTGGTTGTCAATGGCCATCCCTGTTATGGCCTGGATAGTTGGGGACAAAGAACAGGAAATGAGACAGGGGCTCCCGTGCCCTCCCCCCTTCTCTAGCCCTCAATGCTGATGGCCATTGCAAGGGCCCCGGCTTGTGCTTACCCGGTGCTCGCTGCGGACAACGTGTGCGGGTGGCCGCCCAGGACTGACCACTCTACCACTCAGCCTGTGTTCCACGGACCCTTTCTACATGCACAGGGCAAGTCCAGAGCATGGACTAAAGTGAGCATGCCCGCGTTAAAGGTCTATGAGGCTGAGTATCTCCTGCCTCTCAACCCCAGCATGGTCATTGCCGACACACTGTGTATGACCCCTCTAAGTGGGAGGGGTGGGCTGGGCATCCCTAGTACTTTCTTAGGTAGAGGAGGAGTCTGGGGGGCAGGGATGGGTGCTGGGCCCTGTCAGGGCATGGGGAAGGGTGTCCCAGGCTATCACTGGGCAGACTCTCACCACAACCAACACTTTATCCTCCAGCAGGAGTCCAAGGAATGAGGGAGAGAGAACATTAGGGTCTGTTCCTAAATCTTGGTTGCTATTTCATGGGCTCAGGATCATTTCAAATAAACTGGATTTACAACCTAAGAAATCATTCTGAGACAGGAACTAGACATTTTTTTTTTGGCTCAGCTGATGTTTACAAGGGGAAAGCTTGTTCAATGAAGAAAGATTTTTTTTTCTTTTTATCACAAGATACTTGAACTCTTATCAAAGGCTAAGATAAGAGCAGTGGGGACTCCAGGATGTCTATGTAGGCAGAACTCAGAGGCGGTATGGCTGGAAGTGGGGTGGAGGGGCCAGGGTACCCATTTCATCTCCTCCCCACTTGAGGCTGCGTGTGTAACACACACACTGGTTTTGCTTGGATTACATGTTCATTTGGGGCAATTCTGGGAGTGGTGGAGACTTGGGGGCCACCTCCGGCCTATAGGAGTAACCTGTGGGTCCCCATCAGGGTAATTGTAAATCTTGGGAGGTTCACGCTTATGTAAGACGGCCACTTAGCTGTCAAAGCCCCACATAGGAGGAAACCTCCATCACAGTGGATTAGCCCCACAGAGGAGGAAACCTCCATCACAATGGATTTTGTTCAAGTTTACAAGGCACGTTTTGGGATTTGACAGCGTTCTTTTTCAGTGGAGAATGAATGCATAAAGAAGATTCAGAGGCCCCAGTCTCTTCAGATGCTCCTAATTATAGCCTGGAAAGACATGTTCTATAACCACAGCTCACTTTAGACGTACCCCGTTAGGACAGAGGGGAAGGACTCTGAGCCCGTCGATGAAGTGGGTGGGCTGCTAGGTTCTCTGGTTACCTCTGTTTAATCGCTGATTTGTGTAGATCTGTAGAAGCGGCTAGCTGCTCTATGCAGCAGCTACCCACCCGTCTTCACCACCTCCAGCTCACGGTAGCAACTGGGGTTGATTTAACAGATAGTTTGGATTAAGGCCACGAGTAGTCATGAGCAAAATGATTCATTGTTCAGTCTTTCATTCATTCAGGGAAGCTTACTCGAGTGCCCACTGTGTGCCCAATGCTGCTGGGCGCTGGGGGTGTGCGTGCTGTGAAGGAAAAGCCTAAGATGTTGTGAGAATCTGGGCGGGAGTGTCTGCACCACGCTTGCTCCTTCCCTGGGATGTCCTTTCCCCACTACTGCGACCAAATACAGCTGCCAGAGGCTGGAGCTCTCCTTGCTTCTTTCCCCTGGCCCTGACCCCGCACAGCCAACCAGGCACCGGATTCACCTCAGAGCATTTTTATAGCTCTCTCCTTTTCACCCCCATCTCTTTTATTTAGCTGTTCTCATCAACTTAAAATAGTTAACACAGCTGAACCCTAAGGAAATGCTTTAGAGGATATTTTTCTAAATCTTTTATAAACATTTAAATTATTACCAAAGTCATATATTTATATAGCTTAAAACCCCGAAGAAGCTAAAGACATCTGTCACTCTGCCAGGTCTGATTCCCACACCACAGAAGCAACCAATTTAGCTATTTAATTGTCTTAGTTCTAAGTAACAGTCTTAGACGGCGTTCACTACATTTTTCAGCTTTATCTATATCTTCTTGCTATAGAAGATGAAACTTTGGCTCTTTCATACTCCTGCCCCCCAAATATTCTTCCATTCTCCCATCCTCTCATTAGAGTTATGTTTAACTCTTCATTGTTTGATCACTATTCAGTGTTGACATGATTATAATTATGTAAGTATTCACAGCTGAGTCTCGGGCTACATTATGAGATTTCCTTTCTTGTTCACCTTTTGTTTTCCTTGGAACTGGGATGATTTTTAAATGACTAAATTACGATTTTCCCCGCTTGCTTAGCTTTCTATGTATCTATAACTAATTGATTCTTAAACTCTCAGCCAGAAGTGTAAAACTTTTCTTAATACACTCAAATCAGATAATTTGTCAATTTCATTCCACCTCTCACTTCTTGCTTCTCCATTTTTTTTTAAGATTTTATTTATTTATTTGACAGAGAGAGAGCACAAGCAGGGGGAGTGGCAGGCAGAGGGAGAAGCAGCCTCCCTGCTGAGCAAGGAGCCCGATGTGGGACTCCATCCCAGGACTTTGGGATCATGACCTGAGCTGAAGGCAGACCCTTAACTGCCTGAGCCACCCAGGTGCCCCCTCTTCTTGCTTCTCTGTGGACTGATTTGTTCCTGTGTCTGCTGAACAGTTGTCAACTTGGGATCTCCTTTTACTGTCACCCTCTTTCTCTCTTTCTTGTGTTGAATCTTCTGATTTTTGGAACACACGACGTCTTTTATGTTTTAGCTCTTACTTTAGTAGTCTATATCCTCCAATAGTTTGACAAGAAAGAAAGCTTAATAAGTAAAACTTTTGAGAACTTGTCTGTCTGAAAATGTCTTTCTTCTGTCTTCAAAGTTGATGATAGTTTAGCTGGGTATGGAATATACATTACAAATCATTTTCCCTCAGAATTTGAAGGCATTGCTCCATTATCTTCCACCTTCCAGTGATGTTGTTGAGAAGTCCAATTACACTTTTATTCCTGATCTTTGTACTTGTTTTTTTTTTTCTCTCTGAGAGATTTTAGAATCTTCTCTTTGACTTTTGTGTTGTGAAATTTCCTTGGTATGAATGTTTTCATCTATTACACAAGGTACATGGTGGGCTCTCTCAATGTGAAAGCTCATGTCCTTCAACTCTGAGGAATTTTCCTCAATTATTTTGTTGTTGTTCCCCTCCACCCCCATTTTCTCTTTCTGGACATGTATTACTTGGGATTTTGGTTATCCCATACTGAGCCCTTTTTTTCTGTCCAGTATTTCATTTCTTTGTTTTGTTGACATTTTGGGAAGATTATTTCAGCTTTATCTCCCAATCCCCCCATTGCATTTTTTCTACCATATTTTTCCCCGGAATTATTTTAATTGCCCCACCAAAAAGATTTTTTTTTTAGTTTCATATTCTTATTAATGGATGTAATAAGTTCATTATCATTCAGAGGATTTCAATTACAGTTTTAAAAAATGTTCTCCTGCTTCCTGCATTGTTTTCATTTCCTTGAATTTTCTCTTAAAGTATTTTAAAAAATTAAGCAAAAATTTAAAAATTACACAAAAACATTTGTACTGGTTTTTGTGTCTCATGTTAGCAACTTTCCTCAATGTCTGATGATTAATGGCTACCTGTTTATATTTCAGAATAAAGCACTGAAAAAAGTGATTAGAAGATACACGTGTAAGCCTGTGCTTACCATCTGCTAGACTTCACTGGGAGGTGAGCTGGCTGGGCTATTTCACTGGGCACCCCAGCTATCAGTGTCTGTGATTTTGTTCTCTTGGCCTGGTCAGTCTCACCACAGAGAAATCCTCTAATCTCATGCTTGGAGAGAGGTGATAATAAAAGTACTTCCCAATGTACCTGGAGCTGAGTAGGTAGACTTTGATTAATCACCCTGTTTAATTTGGTTAACCCTCCCTGAGCTTTACCTGGTGTCCCCAAATCTAGAGTCCTCTAACCTACCATTGAGAAAGGGGAGGGTAGTCGCCTAGCTGCACGGGGTAATGGAAAGGAACTGAGGGTCTGACCGCTTCTTATAGAGATCATCAAGCCATCCTCTTCTTTTCAGCCCTGCACACACCTGTACTTTTGGTGGGTGCCTCCAATGCCTGAGCCATTCTGAGGTTCTGCAGAACAATTCATTGGGCTCCTGGGTCTCTCTTACTCTTTGCTTGGGTTTCAGCTTCCTCTGGTTTGCTAGGTCACTGGCCATCTGTTCTATTTTCCAACTCAAAAACTTTGCTGTCCCTTCCTTTCCCACTCTCTTTGCCTAGTGTATTCATGGCTTAAAAAAACCCCTTTGCTGATATTTTTGAGGATTTCAGAGGGAGTGACAGTAAATCCTGGTGTCCACCATGTTTAAACAGAAGTTGGTGTCTACCTCTTCAATCCCCTGCCCTGGCTCTATTTCAGTCCTTATCTCAGCTCTACCTAAATATTATATAGATTCCTAATTAGTGTCACTGACTGTTGGCAGACCACCCTTGCTCCAACCAGTCCTTCTTCTACCTGGTCACCAGAGTAAACTTTGTGACTGAAAAATCCCATCTCATAAGCTCCCCTGCTCCTCTGTCCTTTGCAAGGTGCACACACGAACTACTAGCTTTTCCTCCAGTGTGGCTTATTCTCTCAAGATTATCTGCCTTTGCACATACTCTTCCCTTCTGGGACCATTCTTCCCTTCTATGTCCACCTGATAAGCACCTCTTCATCCTTCAAGTCTCATATCAAGCACCACTTCTTCTGGGAAGTCTTCCCGGCTTTCCCAAGCAGAGGAACTAGCTTGCCCCTCCATGCTCTCTCCTACTTCCTGAGGACTCTTTTCATCTGGGATGAGATTTACCATTTAAGGGCTTTTCCTCCCAGCTACTCAGTAAACTCCCTAAGGACAGGGCTTATGGACTTTATCTTTTATTTCCTACCACCCAGCACCTTGTCTGGCATTAAGCAGGAAAACCAAAAATACCCACTCAATATGTGAGAGTGAGCTTGATTTTCCCCAAACAGAATGAACACTTAACTCTTCAGATGAATTCAGGACCTGGCAACTGAATTGGAAAGAAGTCTACATTGGCTAGTTCTAAAACGCAGATATGCATTGTACTTGCTTCCAACTATATGGAGTGAAATTTGGTCAACCCCTCTTCACAGGTTATATGCTCCTTCAAATACTGTATCAGAATCATTTTCAGTTGATCACCAGTCCAAGTAGTAGCTTCTTCTCTGTTATTTGTATGCAAATCATGGCTCTGCCACGCTAGAAAATAAACTATTGAACTAAGAGAATATTTCCTTTAAACTTTTGATTTTGGGGCACCTGGGTGGCTCAGTGGGTTAAGCGCCTTACTCTTGATTTCAGCTTTGGTCATAATCTCAGGGTCGTGAGATCAAGCCCTGCGCCGGGCTCCACGCTGGGCATGGAGCCTGCTTAAGAAAAAAAAAAACCCTCTCCCTCTGCCCCTCCTCCCCTGTTTTCTCTCTCTCTAAAACAAAAAAAAAAGTAAAAATAAATAAAATTTTGATTTCACTATTAATTTTCAGCAGACTTTCTTTAATTCATAGGCAACATAAATAGAAAATAAGAAAGCAAATCCAGCCATAGGTGGGAATAAATTCTGCCTCACCTGCAGTCATGCAAGGTGTGTGAGCCACCACAGTTTGCCATGCTTGGCCGCCATCCCTCACATTGGACTTTTCTTGTTGTATGAACTGTAAAGTGCTATATGTGTTTGGTGTTATTATTATCATTATTGTTTTTTCAAAGACCATTCATGGTATTCTTGTAAAAATCCATGTGAAAATGAGTGCTGTGTTACCCGGGTTCTAAAAATAAGGAAAAGGCTCTGAGAGGCATGGCTTTCACCAAGTCACTGGGTGCTCGGTGGCCCAGCTCTCACCCAGGTTCTGGTTGTGGCCCCGTGCTGGCAGGCCCAGCTTTGGGCAGAGCCCACCATCATGAGTTCACCTGAGAAGAGGCACCACATCACTCACCATGACTGTGTACTCAGTCTGGGCTCGGACGGCATCCTTCAGGAGCAGCAACTTCTCCGACTCCTGTCAACAGACCAGAGATGGGGCTCTAAAGGGCTACTCAGTGACAAACAAGCTAAAGGAGCTGGCTGTCCCAGAGCCCAGCTGACAGGCAGCCCATAGCTGCCTCGCTGGCCTCCTGGAGACTCCTCAGGCAGAGCAGGACTTACCGGCACAGCAGCCTTGTGGTCAGTGACGGCTTTGACAAAACTCAGTGCCTCTGGAGTCGCTGATCGAATGTTGTCTACGCGGCCCTCCTGGAACCTGCGAATGGACGCGCTCTCGTAGGTGGGCACAAGTGTCCCGTGGAGCCTGCAGAAGATGGAAGATGAATGGCAAATGGCATCGCAGTCTCAGGAAACCAGAAACACTGAAAGAAAAATAGCCTCTGCGGGCTTTATTTTTACAGTCCTGGCTTGACTTGGTTAGTATTTCATTTTAATGTTAATAGAATTCTAGAGGAGATTTCCCAAAGATGAGTGTCGGGGAGTCGCTAATAGGAAGAGCTGTGTATGCGTTCATCCGCTGGTGACAGTGTGTGGATATAAAATAATGAAGTGACGGGTAACTTTTTAAAAAATCCCAGTCTGGTGGGAAACCTAGAATTTTCTTTGAGACCTGATGAGTGTTTGATTAATAGCACAGAATGGAATAATGGTGTAATTAATCATTCATACCCTTGAGGGAATCCTGTTTTATTTAGAACAATTCAAGCGCGACCTATGGATGGAGGCAGGGTGGGGGCTTTCGTGGTCATGAGTGGAAGCTGCGGCACAGGCCTGCCTGTCCGGGGGCAGCGGAGCTTCCAACAGACCCATGGGCGCCACGGCTGTGCCTCTCCTCCCTGAGGAGCCGCTCCCCACCCCAGCCAGGGAAAGTCCTTTCCTTAGGCACGCGAACCAAGTGAGCCCTCCAAGGCTTGCACACCTGGCTGGCACACATCTTTCTCACCCATCAGCAAAGTCTTTCGTGCTGGGGGTGGGGAGGAGGAAGACACAGAATCACAGAGGGGCTGTGACAGCACAACGTCACGCACAAGTCACAGTCCTGCATGTTGGCTTTGTCAGGGCACGTATCTCCCGTGCTGGGGGAGTGCTAGGAGGAAAGCCGGGTCAGAGTCAGCACAATGCTTGGCGCTGTAACTCGGAGAGAAGGTGAATAAACTTTCTGGACACTTCTGTCTCATTTCCCCAGGGAGGAAGGACTCTGTCAGGGAGCTCGTTTCCTGTCATCCCTATGGCCCCTGGAGGCAAACGCCATGCCCAGCACAAAAGTAGATGCCATCACTGGCTAGTCACTGATCAACCCCAATCTAGGCAGCTTCCAGGCTTCCGCTGAATCTAGAGGCAGATCCTATTTTGGCTGTTTGTTGAGCCCAGGAGCCTCTGGCCATGTCCACTGCTGGCCACGTCCAGTGCCACAGAGATTATTTGAGGGTAGAGGAGGCTGTGCTCTGTACAGGGTCTGCTAGCCTCTCCTAGCTCTCAAACTGAAATGCTCTCTGAAGTAACCCCTGGAGGACCCTGACCTCATGGCCCATCTCCGCCACATGCCAGTATCAGAATGGCGACAGCAGTTCCAGACACCAGGTCCTGCCGCGGCTCGATGTGTCCCCATGATGAGCACAGACCTCACGTGGGGTGACGTCAGCCTTCCCCAAGGAGTCCCAGTGCTCAGAGTGGCCGAAGCCACTTCCTTTCCCTGTGAGTCATGGCCCCTTGGGAGGACACTGGGATCTGGGATGCTGTGTCCACATGGGTGCTGTCTGCTCGTTAGTGAGACCTCCCTCCCCTGGCCTTATTGCGAGGTCACTTTATGTTCCCCCCATATATTGCAAAGTAAAAGCAGGTCCTGGTGGGGTCCTGTGCCAGTTGATGAGCTATTGCTTCAGGAACACTAGAACCAACAGGAGCCAGCCTTATCTTGAGGATGATCTACTTTGCATTTTAGTTTTAGCCTCCTATAAAAGACCAGTTAGCCTCCCTGCCCTGTCTTCAACCCTTACTCTCTACTTTCTCTCCTCGCCCAACACAGAGCTACCACGATATTTTTCTATACCACAGACCTGACTGTGCCACCCCCAGATAACACTCCCATAGTGTCTTCTCATGTCTGTGACTCAATCCCTGATGCCTACTCTGTGCCGGGTGTGTGAGATACCCAGAGTGTCAGGCTTGGGAGAGACAGTCTAGAAGACAAAATCGACAAATCAATGAACAAGGTAGCTCACGTGAACAATGACTGCCATGAGAAAAAGAGAACACAATGTGACAGGTTGGAAGGCTGGATGGCGACGGGGCCCGGGGTGGCTGCTTTAGGTAAGGGGGCAGGGAAGGCCTGTGAGGGCTGACACTTGGGCCGGAGGAGCTGGTGTGTGAAGAGTGGTGGTGGCAGCAGCGGGGGATGCTGAGACACAGCCTGAGTAAAGGGCTGGAGGCGGGAGAGAGCTTGGGAGGAGGGCCCCAGCAGAGGCTAGTTCACAAGGAGCCTCTCTATGCCTGGACTTTGTTCTAAACATGGTGGGAAGCCATTGGGAGGGTTCAAGGTGGAAAGTGATAGAAGCTGATTTGTATATTTCAAGGTTTACAATTCATGAAGATGGGAGTGGGAGCAGAGCCCTTGGGGAGCATGCTGTGGCTAAGCAAGCCCGAGATGACCGGGGAGGGGCCAGCGGCCATGGACATGGGAAGACAGAGGGTAGGTCTGAGAGACATCTGGAGGACGGACATGGGGGTGTCACAGGTGGGAGAGGGGGGGCAGGGATGAATCAAGGATGAGTTCACATTCTTTGACTTGACCCATGGAAGGGGGGGTGGTGGTTCCACGTCCTTATCAAGGAACAGAGCACAGCTAGAGGGGCCCATGTGGGCTGGCTGAGGGCAGGAGAAGAAGTAGCACCTGGGCGCCTCTCGGTCAGCTTCCTGACTGTGATGTCCTTCCCTCTCTTTTCTGAGATTGGATTCACACTTTGAATCCCAGTTCAAGCAGTACCTCTTTCCATGCAGCCTGCCCTGCTCTTCCCATCTTTTAAGTCCACAGAAAATCATTCCTCCCTCCAGGATGCTTCTAGACTCTGGAGTCTAGAGCAGCTTGTCGGGCAGCCCACCTAGGCAGAGTCGTTCGGCTGGCAGGCTTGGCTTACCTGTAGAAGGCCAGCTGGAGGGCCACCTGGATGAAGGCATCAGGACTGCATTTCTGCTTCTTAATGAATGTTTTCCCAAAGACGTCAAACTTATAAACAGTGAAGTCGAGATTCTTTACTATTCTGTGGAAGAAAAAGAAGAGGCGTTATTGCATGCAAAATAGAATGCACGCACCACAAGGTCTAACCAAGTTGCTCAAGCTTGGTCTACGACCCGGTGCTCTGGAAGGGGAGGACATGGTCCTTACCCACTGGGAACATATCGGGTGTCAGAGACAGGCCTTGACATATGGAAGTGGCAGAGGGCATGCCAGATCCGCTCCTCTGAGCTGAAGAGGAGGCTTGGCCGGGCAGGGCGGTGGCCCCATTCTGGTGGTGGGGGAGGGGGCCCAGCTGCAGGGAGGGGCATAGGGGCACAGGGCCTGAGAGACATTTGCATGTGTAGGGAGAACACTGCCCACAAACAAAATCCCAGAAACCTGTTGCCCACGAAAGTGGGCCTGAAAGAAGCCATTCATCTGACCTGTTTGGGAATGTGTGTCCCACATCCTCAGATTCTTCTGGCATCCTGGCCATTCTGCCAGACCTGGCACATAGCCTTTGCCCAAGGAAAGGCCCATTTCTCAGATGGCTGTAAGCCATTATCTCTTCACAGAGAGTCCTCCCTGTTTTACTATGAGAAGAAATGCCTGGGGCCTCCCTGGTGGTCATGGTCGCCACAGCGAGGGCTGCTCGTCTGGGCTTTGCTGGTGACTGTAAAGCCATTTTACCCAGAAACAACTGCTGAGCCCATAAGTCACTGTCAGAGTAACAGGTAGATACCCCGAGTCTATACTGAGACCCTTGAGCACTTGTCTCCCCCTACCAATATTGACCAGTCTCCTCCTTCATAGTGAGTTTGGGGTCTGGGCTGATTGTCCACTGGAGCAAAGTTTGGCAGGGTCCACATCATCTGTCCACTGGCTGTATGTGAATGCAGAGCCCTGGGTAGGCAACCTCAACCCTCCACTCACACCCTTCCACAGGACTCAGATGCTCTCTGCCTGCTTAGCTCTCGGTGGGGCCGTGCCAGGTTCTCGGGACCCAGGGAGACTCCCCCCTCAGTCCAGCCTGTTCGCCAACTGTCTCTGGACAGGCTGAGCTCATGGTCACACGGCCACCCGGAAACCTCTTGTTCGAGTCCTGCCCACTCAGACCCTACCTCCTTCCACAGGCAGCTCGGAACCCCCGAGGCTCCTCCTGTTTTCCCACCCTCAGGCCTCTCCTGGCTCCCCACCTCTGGGAAGAGAACCTCGGGGGCCCCACTCCGATCTCTGAAAATGAGTGGGCGCCTTTCTCCACCCAAGGATGCCAGCCCACCAACTCACTCTCCTAGAGGCCTGCTCATCCCAAGAACAGCCCCGTATGGTTGAGATATCAGCACCATTTGTAGATGAATACCGGAGGCCTCTCCTACTCTCCCACATCAGCCAGTCAGCCCCCACAGCAGCTTGCCATGGACTGGTCCTCCCTACCCTCTGAGCCTGGCCATGATCTGTCCTGCTCACCATGCTCTTCCCACAGTCTCCTCACTGGCTCCCTGAAAACCCCTGCACCAAAACCTCCAGGGGCTTCTCCCCACTGCAAGACAGCGTCCAGCCCCCATAACACAAGAACAGCAAAGCTCTTCACAATGTGGCCTCAACTTCCCTTTAGTGCCTCAGTTCTGGCCATTCTCTCACTTGCTGGTTTCCAAACCACCCTGCATCTTCTATGAACCTTCTGTGTACAAGCTTGAACAAGCTGCCTTTCTGCCTCTTCTCTAGCTGCCTGCACCACGAACTCCTATCCATCCTTCAAGGCCCGTTTTACAAAGCCCTCCCACAATGTCCTGGTAGAATTCCACTGCTGTGTCCTCTGTGGGTTCAGGCCTATATGCCTTTCTCTGGTTTGGGCACCTGTGTCACACATGTTTTGGTCTGGGGGTCTACCTCCTCCACTGAAGTGTGGACAGCAGGCTCTGTGGCATATTCATTTCTGTGTCCCTAGCCTTTCCACAGTCCTAGTGCATTCACATGTTTGATGAATGAATGAATGAATGAATGATGCTCGCTTCCCGAATGAGGGAATGAACAACCAATGGCCAGATCTAGTTGCCAGCCTGCAGCTCCCTCCACAACTTGGCACTGTGCCAGTGCAACCCCCCCCCCCCCCCAGAAAGGCCCACGCTCATCCCAGCCTTCCTGCATGGGTCCCATTAGGGACTGAACTGCCTCTCTTCCCTTGGGGAGAAAGGTCCCCTTGTCACGTTGTAGTGTAAATTCAAGCAAATTGAAAGAGCTTGGATTCAAATGACCTATTCAAACCAGTTGTTTATTACTCCCCCTGAAAGCAGGGGGATGATTTCCCCTCCTTGACTCAGCTCAGTCAGGTGAAACCCTTGAAAAAATAGCTCCATGTTTGCATTTTATGGAAATGATGGAGACTTCAGCAAGGTTATTTCCCCGAGAGTTATAACTCTCCTTTAGTTTGACTACATTTCCATGAGGAGGTGGGCAGGGGGCAGAGGTAGGCGAAAGGAGGCAGAGAGCTGGGGTCTTTGGAAACTTCCAGGGGGCCTCATCGTCCCGGGTGGAGGGGGTTGGGGTGAGGGTGGGCACGGGGTGACCCCAGAGCATTGCCCTTAAAGAGGCTTGGACTTTCTACCGTTGAAGTTTTTCCATCGAGGAAGCTAAGAGGCCTTGAATTTCCGGGGAGCATTTCCAACGCAGCCTCCTGGGGGCCGGGAGCTCGCTGACTGAGTCGGCCCGGACCAGTTTCTTGCTGCTCTTCACCCTGCAGGCACAAAAAGGTGACAGCCTGCGGCCCTGGGAGCTGAAGGCTGTGGACATCAGTCCCTGTCCTCTGCGGTCATCCTAGCTGTTGGAGCCTCAGGGAGTGTGAGCTGCCTACCCCTGGATCTACTGCACAGATAAATGGACTGACGCTCAATCAGAGAGGCCGCCCAAATAAGCATGTAACAGAGCCAGGATTCCAACCAGTTCCACCTGACTCCAGAGCCTGCTATTTCTTTTCACGTTTTCCTGCTCCACATACACTTGGAGAGGAACTGAAGAAGCAAACTGTGTTGTTTGTCTATGAGGGTTGGTATGGGCTTTTAGGCATTTAGAACTTAGATTCAGGGAGAAGATTGTGGAAAGAGAGAATGAGCAAGCCATGAATGGAGGAAGGAACTCGGTGTGTTTAAGGGATAGCAAAGCCCTCAGTCCAGCCAGCTTGGAAGCTAGGGAGAGAGATCCAGCCCAAGGGGATGGAAGGAGGTGCAGCTCAGAGACCTCCCCTCCTCTCTGCTGGGTCAACAGTCGGCCCAGCCCTGACTCGGAACAAGCACTAGGTATGGGTCTGGACTTCCCTGGGCCAAAGCAGATGTTCCTTTTTGGCTAGGAATTCTTGGGCAAGCTTCTCCCTAACCGCCCTAAACCTGATGTCCTGTCTGCGCCCACTGTCCGTGGCAGATAAAGTGTCTGATGATGTCAAGCTGATTTTCGAATCCATCTTTTGCTAAGACACTTTCCAGACTAACGCAGCCCCCCGGTGGCCACCCAAATTTTTCTTGGCCTAGTTTGGCAGCCCCTTGGCAGTCTGGCTTTGGCTCCCATGGCTGCTGCAGAGGGGCGTTGTGCCCAGACTCACATGTGCTTGAGCAGATGCTCCGTGCACTGCACCAGGACGATGCCGTCAAACGGGGAGTGTTCGCACACCACACCACAAGTGCCATCTCGGCCCACCACAAACTGTAATAAGGAGAGAGGTGAGTGGACCTCAGGTAGGGTCTGTATTTCAAACTGGCCCCTTGGCTCCAGGCCAGGTCTCCCTGGCCTCTCGGGGGGACCTCTCCTCCAAGGACACCAAAGCACATTATGTCCTCAAAAGAATGCCATATGAAATCACCACGGCCTGAGGATATGGGGGCCTCAGAACAGCTCTACTATGTGACCTCCTTCCCAGAAATGCTCCCGGCAGTGGGAGTGGAGCCCGAGTTTCCTGGCTGAAGTAGCTCGGTGATTCCTAAGAGTTCACACTGAAGCTGTGCAGTTTCCTTGGTCATGGGCAAGTTCCGCTGGCTTCTGTTAAGCCTGTGTCCCCCCACCAACAGTGGGCCACAGGGGCCACAATCCTATACAGCTTTGTGTGAGTATGTGTCTAAATGGACCCTGTGTGTTTGGCCCCCACTGATTTTGTTCCCAGGATCTAGACCTGTGTCTACCGCATAGTAGGCGCTCAATACTTTTGTTGAATGAGTGAATGAAAGATAACGATCTGATTTGGGTGGTGTGCAGATCCCTAGGGAGAAAGAAGTTGTCTCTTGATGGGAGTGAAGGAAAGGTGTCTCTGAGGATGCTCCATGAACTGCTGCCTGGGCTTCGAGTCAGGGACCCGGATTCCAGGTCTGCCATGGCCACATGCCAGCTGGGAGACCGTCGACAGGACATTTCAGCTCTCTGGTTTCAGTCGGCTCCCATTTAAAATGGATCTAATAAATAAAGCCCAGTTCACAAGATTGCTATGAGGATTAGAGAGGAGGTATGGGAAAGGTCCACAGGGACTGTAAGGAGTTTGTAAAGGGGGTACTTAGGTGACTTGGAAAAGAGACATACTCAGCATGTACAGAAGTTCTGGGAGAAAAGAATGAGCGGAATGAGATTTGACTTTTAAAGTGTAACCCAGATAAAGTGGGGCTGCCCATAGCCTGGCTCAGCACAGCATCACACTCAAGAGAGTCTAGTCCAGCATCCACACACAAGCAAGCAAACAAACAAGCTATTGACAGTTTTCTGATGCCCTTGCGGGACACTGTAACACTCGATACACACGCAAGCTGACTCTCCTCCTGTCCTCCCCCGGCCCCTCACATAGTGTCAGTGGCCCGAATCTCTGCTCCCATTCTCCAAACAACCTTCCCACATAGTCTTTCTCAAAACTCATCCCTTGCAGTCTTTTCTCTTTTCCCCAATGTCCCTTGCTTCTCTGTCCTGAGACTAGCTCTTGATCATTCAGCTCAGGTCCCTGGAGCTTGTTTGGCTTCTCCCGCTCATCTGATCATCTGTCCTGCCTGTGAAAAGAGCCTGCGGGTGGGCTCAGTCACCTCTGTGGGGCAGGAGGGGAACACTCTGCCCGCTTGCACATTCATGCTTTTCTGCCCTTGCCACTAAAACAAAAGGGAGGAAAACAGTGCCTTTTTAAAACCACTACCGTGGCTTCCTATGTTTCTGGTCCTCTACATCCATTATATCATTTCATTCCCACAGCTGCTCCATGAAAGATTACAAGCCATTAGCACCACTGGCGGGGGCTAAAACAGCCAGTGCAGCAGCAAGTGAACCCATCAGAAATAGCAGAATCAATATGCAAACCAATAAAAAGGATAACCTGCAGAATATAGGGGCCAGAGAAAGAGACAAATGAAATGTTGCCCAGAAATGCTTATCAGTGGGAGCGATGCTAGCCCAAAGCATAACGATTGTTGGCTATTCAATATGGTCATTGTGAAGGGGTGGGGGAGGCTTTAAAAATAAACAAGGTTCGATTCAGGATTGACACACTGGAGAAAAAAGGCTGGAGGAACAGGAATGAATGGGCCCAACCTCTAACTTCATCTGCACCTGCATGAGTATTTCTCTCCAGGCCAAAGTGAATGTCTTGTTTCTGGGTTGATGTCATGTGAATGAAAAATATAGGAATTGCTTTATTTCATTGTATGACTTTCCTTCTGTGGAGATGCTGGGCTGTCCTACTTCTCAGGGATGGAGGGAGGTGTGTTAAAATGGCCAGGCGAGAGTGATGGAGATTCAGAAAAGCTGGCATCCCTGGACATCAGACATGATTCTTGCTGAATGCATTGAGGATGTGTTCAGTGGGGCCCCGGGGATGCCCCCACCTTACAGTGTGTGCTAGGAGAAGGGGAGTGAGCTCCAGGTCTGACCTGGAGATCCCACACGCCTGGCACAGGCTGCAGGAAGGTTGGGAGTTTGGGCAGGGTTTGGTCACTTGCTCCCAAGAAGAGTTCTGGCAGCCCAAGGGCTGATACCAGTGGTACATTTCCAGTGCCTTCAGCTCCCTTGGCCCTGGATGCAGCATCCTGGGCAGCACAGGCCAGCAAGTGAGCCTGCCAGGCGTGAGCATCTGCTGGCTCGGGCCGCTGGCCATGCCACTGGGGAGGCTTACCTGCAGGGATTTGTCATACCAGCGGTTTGCCCCATTCTTGCTGCAGCCTCCGCCGTGAAGGAGCTGAAGCGCCCTGTTGGTGTCGCTGAGCTCCACGCCTCCCGGGGCGTCCAGGCACACGAGGCAGATGCAGCGTTCAATCATATCCAGCGCGTCCCGGTTGGTGGAGTCTGCAGGCCAGGCAAACAAGGCCTTAACCCCTACCCTCCAAACCCCAGGCCTGAGGTCCTCTCCGCAGAGCCCCACACGCCGCAGGCAGACACACACATGGACACCCAGCCCTTGAGCCGGTCTTGACTCCTTTCCCAACTCCGATGGGTGGGCTGTGGAGTCAGCTAGACTCTCCTGAGCTTCCATGCTAATCCCAGCAGCCAGCCCACTCTCAGGATCTCTGCAAGAGTCCCACTTCCTCTTTAGCTGTGGCCAGATCTGCCCCCAGATGGGCGGTCACTGGGCCTGCCTGCCAGGATGAAGGGGGCTCACGCGGGGCCTTCTCCATGGACATCAGACCCTCAGGTCAGCCTTTGCCAGGGGAGGAGCTCCAACTCCTCCATCCAGCGGTGTACACCATCCCCCACTGTGGCCCTTGAGAGCCACATCTGGCACATAGGCATGTTTGTTTGTCCCGAACTAAAATTCTTAAACATTAGAGGCTGAAATCTGAAAATCAGTCAATTTCACATGAAAAGCTGAAATAAGGGAGTCAAGGTGCTGCTCTCCCTGCCCCCTGCCACCTCAGTGGTTTTTCCAATGCAGAGCGCAGATGGAAGGGCCCGGCTGCCTGCCCCAAATCCATATCCAGCTGAGCCCACTGGGGCCATTTCAGGCATGGGAAACTCATCTGGACAAAGAGACTAGAAGTCACTGAGTTGTGCAGGAGACGTATCACCAAGGCAGCTTGATTTCTCCCTGGGGGACATTGGGCATAGGATTCTTCCCCAAATAGAGCTGGGCCAACCGGATGCGCTGTCCCCCAGGGGGCCTCCTCCACCTCCACCACCTCCTCTATCCAGACTTTTGGGCTAGATGCTGTAACACAATGAGGTGCAGGGTTACCTCTCCCCCCCAAGCCCCAGAGTATTCTATGCATAGAGGATGGGCTGCAAAGTATTTGGAGGCAAGGGGGGCACTATGGGGCAGAGACTGCTAGCTGCATATGGCAATATCCATTCTCCCTTTAGTCACAGAGTTTCTGGTTTTAGCTTGGCCCGGGGAGAACCAGAACTAAAGCTGCACTGCCCAGCCTCCGTTACAATTAGGAAATTAGGAATCAAAATTCTGCCAACAAAATTTAGAAACACTATATGACAGCTTCCAAGGGACTTCCTTAAAAATAACTAGCATGTGCTCTTTGCCCCTCTTCCCACCTTCCTCTATCTATTGCTTGGAACACTGGTGTGATGGTTGGACCTCTAGCCTCCATTTTGGATGTTATGGATGTGGGCCACAGCCTTGCGGTGATGGAAGAATCCTAGCCACCATGTATCAGCTCTGACGGCTTACTTCTGGTATACGACAGAGAAACCTCTGTTTTCTTTAAACCACTATTATTTTGAGTTTTCTGTCATATGTGACCAAATCTAATCCTAACTTATACCATCTGTTGATGTTGGGTTCACATTCTCACACTGCAAGAATTAGCTGGAGCTGAGAAGCTGCACCCTTGGTTTACCATTAGTCCTCTCTCATTCATTCAACCCCCTTGTTAGCTGTAGGTATTGAAATCCAAGGTCCCTGTCCAGGAGGCTATTTGTCAGAGAGAAACCTTCTGCGGGCTGAGGAGCCCTCCAAGATGAGAGTCAGGACCCTCCCTGCTCTCTCTTGTCCCATCAAGGCAGGCACTTGGGCAGGCCCTGGTCCTGAGCGCTGGCCCTCCTATTTCCTGTAGTCAGCCCAAGCCCAGGCACACTTACCTCTCTGTTCCTGCCCTTCCCCTCCCTACTGGGATCCCACTTACTGCTGAGTCAGAATTCCCTCTTTCAGAGTCCCTGGTTCTGGAAGCTTCTCTTCTTCCAGAGCCTCAGGTCAAAAATTATGTCCATCATCTCTCATAGCCATCTGAAATCTGTTTTCCTGAAGTCCGGGGAATGTGTGGGAGCAGGTGTGACTTCCACACGCTCAGGCTCAGGGTCTCTGTTCACCAGCCAGGTCCTGCCTGTGGGCTGGAGGCAGGCACCACAGTACCTTCCCTAGTCAATGGGAAGCTGAGTCCATACACAGTCCGACGTTGCCAATGGGTGCCTGTCCCTCCTTTCGTCCAGTGAGGGACCCAGGGGGGCCTCGATGAAGTCCTGTCTGTTCCTCCCTGCTCTTGGCCTCACCCTGACCCTCACTGGGGCATGTGGCGACTTCACCCTCCCAGTGCAGTCAGCCTCGAGTAGGGCAGTCCCTAAGACTCTCCCCTGGGCCTCTTCAACATGTGCTAGGCACAAGGATGCTAAGGCCACCTGTGCTGTTCCTTGCTCTGCCCACATGATTTCTCCAGTTCATGAGAGGTGTCCATATATAATCTCATGGAAGAGAGTCTCCAGTCTCCACCCATCCCCTTCCTCCCAACTCTTACAAATCCCTGTCACAGCAAGCCTTCCCCTCTGGGAAGGAGAATGACAAGCAAGCCAGCCCATCCTTGGGTCATCTTTTCCCCACTTCCTGTATAGAATGAGGGTTTGGAGAGCACCATACTTTCAGGACCCCTCTTGATCCCGATGGAGCCAGGATGACTCCTTATCTTCTGCATGGCCGCTTGGGCTTTCCTGGAGTCTGATCAGCTCCAAGGCTTTAGGCCATGCCCTGAGAATCTAAAGGTAAAGGCAGCCCAGTTGAAGCTCTGGGGAAATTCCCCTTCCCTCTGCTCTTCAAGGATGGTGCATTCACTGTGTTGCTGTCTTCAACCTGAAATGACTTCTGTTGTCCATGAGGTTGAATCTAAACATGGCCCTTTGGGCTCCATGGCTCACCATGCTGCCCCTCTGGGTCACCTCCCCTGAATCCCGGCACAGACCTCATCCCTCCTGCCACTCTCTGGACACCTGGGCTCATTCATCTCTTCACCATAGCACAGGATGTCTCCTGGATAGGGGTCCTTCTCCTACTCTGCCTATCACAGTTTCACTCATAAATTCCTCCCAAGCTCCCTGATCCTTTAACAGGGCTGGCCCTATGCCTGGCGTAGGTAGGAGCAGCCCAGACAGAGCTCCTGCCCTCTAGAACTCCTCACACCCAGAACACGCTGGCTGCTTGCTCAGTACAAAGAACCTCTGCTCTGTCTACCAGGCTGGCCTCGTACAGCAACTGGGTCCAGGGCTGGGCCAATCCCCTCTATACCCCATGCCCCTACAGCACGTGACCCTGCTGCTGACCTCAGACCTCCCCATGCTTCAAGAAGTCACTGCCAGTCCAGCCCCAGAAGCTCTGACACCCTCCCCCATATCTGTGAGCTTGCAGAGGGTGGGGGTGGATCCCCAGCCCAGATGGCACAGGAAAGGGTCCATGGCTGGCAGTGGACTCAACTGTAGTGTACCGGGACAGGTGAGGCGGAGATCTGTGCATGCAGCTCAGAGAGGGTACCTGGAGAAGCCCAGCTGGCTTGGGGGTCAAAAAACCACTACCTTTGGGGCATGGAGCCTTGTAGGATGGGGGGGGCGATGGTGAGAGGTTGGGAGGGGATGGAGATAGGGAAGTGATTCCTTACCCTTTGCAAGGCTCCTAGCCTTGCCCATCTCTGCTCTAATAGGAGTCCCTGTCAATGGCCCTGGTGCTTGGCGCTGCCCTGTGTGCTCTTCTGGTGTTTCCCTTGGGATCCCAGGCTGACTGGAGACTTCAGAGCATGGGAAGGCCTTGGCCAGGCTGGGGTCAGATTCAAATAGGCAGAGAGGAAGGGAGAAGCATGTCAGGAGGGAGATAACAGTGCTAGAAAAGGTTCTGAGCACTGGGCCGTAGACACCCAGGCTTGTGGGTGGAACGTGTGGGTGAGCAGACCACCCCAGGCTGCAGTTCACCCCCAGATTGTAGGTGAAAGCATGCCAGATTTAGGTGAGGTTGAAGAACGCAGTGAAGTGATGCTATTAGCTAGTCTTTGTTGAGCACCTAATATGTTCCAGGCATAAATCTAAGTCTTCATATTGATGAACATGAGATAGGCATTTTTATCATCCCCATTCACAGAGAAGCTAAATGTCTTGCCTAAAGTCACCCAGTAAACTGAGGGAGCTAGACTTGATCCCAGGCAAGCAACCCCAATGCCCAGGCTGCGAACAGATCATCAAGGGCTGTGAATGGCAGAATCGGGAATATGGGCTCCATCTAGTAACAATGAGGAGCCACCAAAGGACCTTGGGCAGGGGCTGATGTGGTCAGAGCAGAGTCTAGGAGGCCTAGCAGCCTGGGGAGGGTGTGGGCCTGGAGGCCAGTTAAGGGACTGTGGGCAGCCTCAATGCTGCACATCTAGGCCCTGTTGGCCACATCTCAGTGAGCTCTGAGAGCCCAGGCTGGGTAGCTGCCTACACCAAAATTTCCTTAGAAATAGCCCCAAGGCCAATGTGGAGTGGGCAGGCCTGTCCAGCCAGGATGCTGGGGAGAAGGCCTAACACATGTTCTGGGCAGGAGAGTGGAGGCTTAGCACACTCCTTCCCAGGTGGACAACTCAAAGCTGACAGCAAACAAGGACAGCTCCCCAGGCATCAGTGCCCCAGTCACCTCCAGGCAGGAGCGAGGGACCCCTGAGGAGGGATTGAGCCATCACCATCACGGGCAGGTTGTGCAGGGCCCCAGGGCTCAGCGCCAACCAACAGTAACCAGGTCCTGACTCATTAGACAGGGTGAAATGGGAGCAGGACAGCAGAGCTGGGATGCCAGGTGGCCTTGCAAATGAACTCCCCGCATATGGGTAGCTGACAAGTTTATCACGTAAGGCAGAAAATGAACTACACCCAAACTCACCCACCATGACTCTGGCCCAAATGTAACGGAAACAGAGGGTGGTGGGCTGGAGGCATGCAGCAGGAGCCGTTTGTCTTGTGACTTTCTCATCGAGCACATGGAGGCTCGTTTAATGTGGTCAATCAATCTTCCTCAAGGAGCCCCTGCTTAATAGTGAGAAGTCAGAGCTGAGTAATAGGAGGAGCTTGCTCTGCTGCCCACGCCTGGGGAGTCGACAGCTTCAGTGATGTGG